TCAAGTTGCCAAGGTTGAGAAACACTGATCTAAGGTCACATTGTAATGGCACACAAATAAGGTTTCTATTTTTCTTGCAAGATGCCACTCTAAAGGTATTTCCGAGATGTTGTCACCTTGCTTCAAAGATCAGAGATATGCAGGAATATAGGGAGAACCTAGATTTACTGTACACAACTAGGTAGTCAAACGTATTTTCCATTTAACTCCTAGGAATCAACTATGTAAAACCCATATTAGACATTCTATAGCAGGGGGTTCAAACTCACATTGTCGCGTAACCTACCACAACTTTCCCCCCCTTTCTTAAACTGGGCGTGGGCGTGGCCAGCACGTGACGCATCCAGCCGCGAGTTTGACGCTGCTGTTCTATAGCAAATGTAATAAATTAATGACTGTTTTGGATTGCTCCTAAAGTGCTTTTCAAGTTGCTGCTGATTTTTGGCAGCAATGTTTTTTTTAAAAAAAAATATTTTGAATATGCATTCATGTATTTTCAGTTATAGCTTCATCCTATTATCAGTAGTAGTAGTAATATTTTAGTACTATTGGCACTAAACCAATTTCAAAAATAAACTTCAAGCTCTTGATCCAGCTCTATTATTACCAGCAATAGTCATATTTTATTAGCCTTGGCAATAAATAACTTGATCCAGCTCTAATCATGAACATCTAATCTTCTGCAGAAACTGGTTCGCATAAATATAAATGCATTTCCTCCTATTCCAGGAATACAGTAAGTGTGGCCTGCAAATTCACTGGATCCCATATGAATGCTGGAACACTACTGATGTTAATGCCAAACTGCACCCATGTTCTTTACACCCATAATTGCATATATACATTCATTTACTTTATTTTGAATGGAGGGTTCGACTCGAGTAAAATTCCAGCCATTTGTTTCTTGGTTGCTAAAACAGTTTGGCTAAAATAACAGTGGGTTGAATAATTACCAACAGTTTGATTGCCACAGCTTTTCTGACTCCATGCTCATTTATTTTCCATGTATTCAGAATTCTCTTTCTACAATTTTGAGTTGACACTAGTATATATCTATAAAATATTTATAATAAATCCAATAAAGCTGTGGGGTTTTTTATTCATGTATAATAATACACCGGATAAATCTTAAGCTTTCTGGGTCTTATGTGACACTAAATTAAAATCTGGTCTTATATGGCATGTTCATTCTCTTCCTTGTCCCCCACTGTCTTTCATTTGATATCAGAAAAATTACCAGGGGAATATCAACCTATATTTCTGTCTTTGAAAAAATTCATACACACCAATGCTGCTGGGCAGTCTTCAAGGTCGTTCTTATAATGCTTGAAAATTATCCCTCCAACGTCTAATCAGTATTTTCATTTGTGGTCCTCTATGTTCTGATTTCTGAAGTTTTCTTGCATAGATCAGCTTTTAATCAATCAATCATTCTACACTTGTATAGCACTTTCATGCTATGGATCTGAAGAATATTTCCAGACAATATGATAATGTGGACAATCACATAAAAGCTATATCAGGGTAAATTCTGAACCTAGAATGCAAATTGTACTTCAATTATAAATCTTTCCATTGTCAAATCCTTTTTTTTTTGTCTAATTCAGGGATAGCAATAGCAATAGCAGTAGACTTATATACCGCTTCATAGGCCTTTCAGGCCTCT